ATATTACGCCTTACTAACTCAAAAATTTCTGACAATTTTTGTGCGTTCTCACTTGGTGTTTGCGAGGCTTTGCCGGTCCCGATCGTGTGTTCATCATATAGCGCCTTCGGCAGTCGGGGTTCTCGACCTTGGGTGACGAATGCTGGCGAGTACCCAGTGGACTCCGCCACACTGGTATTAACGGCCAGCCGTAATTCTGGCCATTTTTCGTCCCACGTCCTTTGGTCGGCCCCTGCAAACTGGGCGATCATCGTCTTCGCGGTCCTATTTGCCCTCTCTGTCGGATTTTCCTGGGGCGTATACGGCGCAGTAAACTGGTGTCGCACCCCCAACTCTTCGAGGAATTTTTTGAAGGACCTACTGGTAAACTGCACCCCGTTATCCGTGATCAGGATTTTCGGGACGCTATACCTCGAGACGATTCTCTCCCTTATCGCCTTTTGCAGCGATTCTGTGGTCGCCTTCCGCATTGGCACCAACTCGGTCCACTTCGAGAATCGGTCCACCAGCACGAGCAGCATTGCATTCCCGTGTTTTGACCGCGGCAGTGCACAGTGGTCGGTACCATAGGCCAAAAATCAAAAAATCAAATTTGGAATTTTGATTTCAAGTTTGGCGCATCTGTTTATCAATAGAACAAGGCTTTAAAAGCAAGTATTAGTTTTGTCTTGCTCCACATATTTGCGGAGAAATTGGGGCGCAAAGTGAGCGCGCAAACCCAGCGATCAACTGAAAGTGTGCGCATGTCTTTTGAAAGCGTTAAGTTAATAATTAAAAAAAATATAAAACAATCGTTTAATACCCGAAAGTGAAATGAATATTAAAGTTGAAGGTTTGTAGATTGTGTTTTTTTAATTTTTATTAATTTTGCATGCTATATGTGACTGTGACAATAATTGTTTATCCACCGCAATTTTACAAGTTCTGCAGCACTAAACATCAATATTCTGCAAAGGTAAACTTCTCAATAATGAAATTTTTTTTTAAATGTTAATCAATATTTAATTAGTATTATCTGTGAAAATCAGCTGCGAATAGCTGCGAATCCGTTCAGAATCTTTTAAAGAAGACGAGTGCCTCGTTCGTGTTTTTCATCAGTTTTTGATTTTTTAGAGTAACCATTTCTAATATATATTGAAAAATGTATTTTTTATTACTTTTATTTTACTTTAAATTTACGTTAATCATCGTTTTTTGTTATCTTTTGTTAATTTTTTAACCAAAATTAAGTGTTTAATAAATATAATTTTTGTCAGTTACGCTTAAAAAAAGTGTAGTATGCATTTGGGAGTCAAATTTTGAACATTTTATGGTAAACACGATGGTAGCGGATATATTTGGCTTTAATGGTGCTGATACTTAAAATATAACATTCATACGCTATTATATACCTACAAAAAAAATTTCAACTCGATATTCCTACTGGAAGTATTTTTGGCCGCCTTCTCCATACAAGACCGACCACTGTGCATTGCCTCTCCTCGATTTGCTCTCCTCCCATCGCACCTTCGCCTCGCCCTCGAAAAGTATCTAGACCTCTGAAGGAAAAGAAATTAACAAAATTAATATATTTTTCATTGAATTCAGTATTATTATTATGGTACAGTGGCGGACGCAGGGGGGGGTGTCCGGGGGTCCGGACCCCCCCAAAATCTCAGACTTTTTCAAATTTTCTTACAGCACACGGCTTTTCAACCATAAAAACTAAAATTTTTTTTGGTCGGACCTCCCCAAAGAAACAAATTTTTTGATCGGACCCCCCAAACGTAAAATTTTTTGATCGGACCCCCCAAACAACAAAAATTTTTCGATCGGATCCCCCCCATAATTTTTTTTCGCGTCCGCCCCTGTTATGGTATATAGCATACTGTATTAATTTGTTTAACTTCGCAATGCTCAACCAATTATTCTGTTCCACCCTAACAAAAAAATTTAAATTATACATTGAATACAGTATTAGGAATGTATAAATTATATATACATATATAGATATATATTTAACTTCACAATGTTTAACGAAATTATTATCGTATGTATATATTTGTATTAATGCACATGGGATGCATATTTTGAACAATACTACAAAAACATTATAGTAACAATGCGAGTTAATAAAACGCCCACACTTATGCTTTATCGGTTTCCAGTTTGGCCGGCTGCTTTATCAAACTATGTTACTTATTCAATTGGCAACAGTCAATAAAAATACTGGCTGCTTACCCACTGTATCAAATACTGGTTGCTTTCTTATCCTCTCTCTCTTTTTTAAGTATACATACAAATATGTATGTTCTTTTAAGAGCTTTTTTAGTTGTTTGTTGGAACAGTCCAAAAATTTAGAAAACAAAAAAATTGACAATGCATAGGGGAGGGTGGCCCGATACCGACCCCCTAAATGGCAAAGGCGATAAAGGTGAGAAAAATCAATTTTTCAGTTCAGTTCAAAAATTTACTATGTAGAGGGATCAGTTTACTATACATCTAATTGATTAGTAAGTGCGTAGGTGCTTTGCAGCGTTAGATATTCAGGCAAATATAAAACTCCACTTTTTGGTCGTACTCAAAAGTAGTGGTCCGAAACCGACCCCCTATTTCTTAACAGAAAAATTTAATAACATAAAATAGAATTTAATGATTTTGACGTTTATTAAGAAATATATTGAAGGTTCTTTCCAGAAAATAAAAATTAATGTATGTATAAAATAAAGTGCACTGTAGTCAATTGATGAAGTCTGAGTTGTCCTCTTTCTCATAGTAAGTTTTCGCGTTGTTTTTCGAAAGCCACTCGTTGATGACTGTCTCTTCGCTTTCTTCTGATGTTTTTGATGTTTCTGTTACTTTTCTTTACTGAATCTTGTTTACTTTTTCATATTTTCCTTCAAGAATACGCTATGACATATTAAGCTGCTAATAAATGGGGGTCGGTTTCGGACCATCACTTCGCGGTCGGTTTCGGACCACCACAACCTTTTCTAATTCACTGCTCGCCATTATCTAATGACGCAAAGAGCGATGTAATTCTAGTAGCGTGAATGACAGCTAGGACTATCAACTATCAGAAAACCTCACCCTCCGATTTTTATGCGGAGAAAAAAAACTTTAAAAATATTTAAGCTCATGTTCAGTAAAGAAAAAAAAATGAATGTCACAGGCGTTGAAACAAAACAAACGGAAAAATTGCAGTGAAACAAAAGAAGTCAAATTGGCTATATATCTCCAAAATGTCTGTGTTATAACAGCTTTTCACTAAAGTTACCGACAATTCGGCTAGCATCGCCAACTCTGAGAAACATGGGGGGGGGGGTCGGTATGGTACGACCGGTCGGTATGGGACCACTCTCCCCTATGGTTTGGCGCTGATTGCGTGTGTTTTGGGGAACGAGCTGAGGTCATCAATTGCTTCAATTTCTATGTATTTTTAAAGTGCAATTATGCACTTCACAATATCCAAGCCATACGAATTCTAGCTCTAAATCCGCCGTATATATGTAGAACACCCAACTATGTACATTCCAATAAACCGGCTTAATATTATCGCAAACCACCTGTTATTACCATAGCGATAAGGAGAAATTCATACACCTTAGCTTGTTTGTTGTTTAAACTTACCGTTTACTGATTTCTCGGAGGTTGTGGTCAGAATAGCTCTTCCATTGATCGTTTCACCGCTATAGTAAATCGGTTCGGGGCGATCGAGCTCGAATGTACATTGAGAAGGCATCTGGCAGCCCGTTAAGTAATCAAAACGTTACTTTAATTATGCTGGTGCTAATTATAATTTTAATTATAAGTTCCAAAAATGTATTTAGTATTTGGCGACGAGCAACTAGAAATTTATTCAGCACCAGACGAGCGTCGCACCCAAAGTGAGATATAATAAGTGAGTTGCCGGTTGGCGAGAGCAAGATTGTTTGTGACATCATCACTTTGCGAAAGACAAAGCTCTCTCCCGTTGAGAGTGAAATCGAAATGTGGAGCTTTGGGGCCTGCGCTCACTATAAACTGCTTTGGAGAATATCGCTGTGTTCTCAATTTTTTTCTGTTTTTGTTTTACAACGGTGTTTGCTGTTTTACTACGAAAAACGACTCAAACAATACGAAATATGTAAACAAAAAACAGTTGTAGGCTCCATAAAAGTTTTGTTGGCTTATTAGGGTATTCGTAACATTTTCAGATTTTGTTACTACTTATTTTGGCCATGTTTCCTTATCGGACTTCTCCTGATAAGCAGTACTTTTCTTACGTGCGTTGTTTTTGCAATCCAAACGTTCGAAGATCACTTTTTGTTGTCAAGACTTCAAAAAGCGAAGTTTATACATAAACTGCTGTGAAAAATTCTAAGGAAAATCTTTTATTTATTAAAAGCTAGTTTGTTGAGAATAAATTATGACGTTTTGAAAAGGGTTCCGTCTATGGTTTACGCACGCAAATTTGTAATTCATTGAAAGATATTTAAGCGATGTAAATCATGCCAGGAAATCCCCAGAAATGATCACTAAAATACCTCGTATTGCTTAGTTTAAAAACTAGTTTTTTACAGCATGCAACTAAACCCTATTATTATTATGACATAGGCAACTGTTATTACAACAGCGATAAAGGCAAATGTACAAACATTGTAAACATGATTGATATTACCAGTTACCGACAGCTTGTATTTTGTTCAGAAAGGCGATCGGGTTCAAAATAGCCTTATACAGTAAATTTTTTCTGTAGGGAAAATATCTTTTTAAACTCGCGGTGATTAACAAAATGGTTATATGGCGCCAGCAGGATTATTGTTTACCAAATGACTAAAGTCGCACTCGAAAAAAATATTATCGCAATCTAGTAGCGACAGTTTTGTTTGATAATTTCAGACCGAAAATAGTTAATCTATTTTTGTGAAAGAAAAAATTGGTGTTAAATATAAGAATATTTTTGTCCCATACTTTGAAAGAGTTGATTTTGGCTGTCTTAGCTGCTATCGCAATTTATCGCGTATCACCAAGAAGACAGATTTATATTGTTGTTTGTTTATTTACCACTCTGTAGGTATGTGTAGGTATACATACATATTAACGATTTGGTTAGTACACTGGCGAACCGAAAAAGAAATAAATACTGCCGAGATAAGATATAGTCGTGATTTTGCGCGATAGGCGTCCTCAGATCTGCACGGGCGACTCCACGGGCTGTTTCTCCGGACGTTGCTTCGATTGTCCAGGATCCGCGGGGCGTCGGCGGCGGCGTTTCCGCTTCTTCTGCGGAGGATTCGGGGGCGGGCTCTGGAAGGTGTCCACATCAAAGACCGGGTAACGCGGAGTAAACTGGGAGGCCTCGCTGACGGTGTTCGCGTCCGTGTCCGCAATATCAGCGGTCATGAACATGGCTTGCTCGTACGTCGGAGGGGCTGTAGAAAAAATTGCAATGATCGATTTTTACTAAATTGCTAAGAAAATATTTAAAAAGAATGCAAGAAAGTCATGTTTTTTTTTTTCAATATTTTCATATTTTCAGGACTTATAATTAATCAATTATGTATTGGCCGTTTTGTTCGACCACTAATGGCCATCTTTCGGGCAGCTGCATAATTCCGCGCTCGAAGAACTTTTGCTCTTTTCCAGCAAAGAATCGAGACAAGTGGTTTTCGACAGCCTCATCTGAATCAAAGTTTTTACCATTCAAAGAGTTTTGAAGAGAGCGAAACAAATGGTAATCTGAAGGTGCTCAGTCCGGACTATAAGGTGGATGTGGTAGCACTTCCCAATTCAGCTCCGTTAATTTTTGCCGAGTGACCAAAGATGTGTGGGGCCTAGAGTTGTCATGGTGAAAGATTATACCCTTACGATTAGCTAGTGCCGGCTCCTTTTCTTTAATTTTTTCCGCCAAATTGAATAGCTGGCGACAGTACACATCTGAATTGATGGTTTCATTCCGTTTCAGCAGCTCAAAGTGCACTACACCCTTCCAATTCCACCAAACAGGCAGCATAACTTTCCTCTGATGGATATCGGCCTTTGATGTGGCTTGGGCTGGCTCATCTTTCTTGCTCCATGATCTTTTTCGTTGGACATTATTGTAAACAACCCACTTTTCGTCGCCAGTAATGATCCGCTTCAAAAAAGAATCGTTTTTAATCCGTTGCAGCAGAGAATAGCAGATGTTGATACGCTTAGTTAGGTGAATTTCCTTTAAGTTATGCGGAACCCAAACATCGAGCTTGCTTACGTAGCCAAGTTTCTTCAAATGGTTTTTAACTATTGTATGCGACACACTGAGCTTCTCTGACATCTCCCGCGTTGAATAACGCCGGTTTTCATCCAGCAAAGCCTGAATTTGTTCGTCAAAAACGGCCGATGGTCGACCAGAACGTGGGGCGTCTTTAACTCCAAAATCTCCAAACCTGAATTTGGCAAACCAGCGGTGACATTGGCGATCACTCATGGCATCTTTACCATACATTTCGCACAATTTTTCGCGAGCTTCGACCGCTTTTTTTCCTTTTTGGAAGTAAAAAAGCAAAATATGCCAAAAATGCTCACTTTGGTCCTCCATGTTTAATTTGCTGTAGCTTCCACAAATGTTATCGAATAATTACCAAATTTTCGTCGATAGTACCTAAGACAATAAGCTTTAAAACGATACTAAAAAGTGTGACCCTGGTGCTCGATTAGTCGTAAATAAATTAGATTAAAAACGATTACTAAAAAAACGACATGACTTTCTTGCCAACCCAATAATATAATTCTAAGCAGTTAGCATCATTCTGCGGTCTTGCGTCCATTTTTATGTAGGATATTTTAATATAAGTAAGAAGATTGACTCATTGAACGCATTGAAACACAAATTGATCCTTCCCAGTTGCCTTGCATATGAACGCAATATAAAATAAATACATACTTGGGAAATTGTTAGAAATATAAAAAAATTCTTGCCGAATTTAAATTCGCTTCTCTCCTTAGTTAAACCTTAAAATTTCTGATTAGCATTTGCTTAAACTCACGTAGATCAGGGACGAAGTTGTCGGTGGCCTCCAGCTCATCGTCGCCGTCCTCGGGAAGCTCAAAGTCCTCGAGGTCCTCGGTCATTTCGTAGCCGGAGTTGCTCATCCCAGCGCTGGACATTTGGGCTAGTTCCATGGCTCTGGTGGAGGTGCAGGGCAGGTCGGCGGGGAGGGGGCTGCCGCCGGCGAAGGCGTCGGTGGCCAGAAAGTCCGGACCGGAGACGGCGGTGGCCAGCGGCACGTTGCCAATGGTGATGGGGATGATGACCCGCGGGTTGGCCATCAGCCAGTTCATCACGGCCACCACTCGCACCTCGTACGAGACCCTCACCACCTTGCTGAGATGCTCGCAGGTGGGCGCCGTGGCCGGGATCCTCAGGGTCTCCGTGTAGTTCCTCTGGCCATGATGAGCCACCGGTCCGCACTCCCGCTTCACCAGCATGATCTTCTCGGAGGTGGTGCGCAGCGACGGCTGGTCCGCCGTGTAGGTGGCTCTCAAGTGGAGCATGATCAGGAGTTTCCGGCAGTCGGAACTCGATTCGTTGCGCAGCTGGGCGTGGACCAGCATAAATTGGCCGGGAACGTATCCCTGCTGCTGCAGGGTGACCTTCAGCTCCACGGGCTTCGAGTGCATCAGGCAGAAGTACTCCACCGTCTCGTTGCTCGCCGGTTCCCGGAGCATCTTGGTCTCCTGGTTCAGATCGAGCAGCTTGAGCACCGTGAATCCCACGTTGTGGGTGCGATTGGAGGCTCCTGGCTTGAGGAAGGTCACCTTGGCCAGGTAGCGGATGTGCCCGAAGGCGCCCTCGAAGGACGAGGGGCAGTGGCTGGGAATCGGGCAGGCGAAGGTGTACGTGTACGTCCCGGCGTCCATGTTGAAGGTGCTCCCCTGCTCGGAGCCCATCAAGTAGGTGGTGGAGGCTATGTAGTCCTCCCTGCCGCTGAACTGGTGCTTCATCCGCTTCTTCGGGTTCTGGATGGCCACCGCCCGTCCGTGTCTGCGGACTCTCCACTGTGCCTGCGCATAGCCGCTGATCTGTAGTTTAATTCCTGAAAAAATGATACAATTCACTTTACATTTCCAAATAAATTTATGAGATTTAAAATGATTCATTTCTTTTATGATTCATTTATGAATTCGTTTTTGAGTTTAAACATCCACAATATAATAAACAAATATTTAATAAAGTTTGTCATGTGTCATTTATCTTTTTGCAAACGAGGTTATAATTCTGTTCTACTTAAAACTGGGTTGCCTATCTAGGTAGGTTTAATATTATGATAAGATAAAACTGTAAAGCGGAAACGGTTACTGTTCTTTTTTGAGTAAAAAGTATAAATCCGTCTATCACGAATGTTTTGTTAATAAGATAAAAAAGTTTGTTTTTATTTTTATTTTTTTGCAAATGCAGGAGTGCAAGATTATTGACCTTAACTTTTAGATTAAAAGAAATAACTATCCATTAATGTCTACTGAATACTGTATTATATACAGTAAAAATCTATTTAATTCTTTATGGAGTAGGATCCATATCACTTGAGATTGGCCCAGAGACCATGACTAACTCCCCTGGCATTTCCGCGGAACGGAGAGGTAGATCCCCCAGCCAAAACAAAACTATATCTGCCCTTAAGCTTCGGGTATCATCAATTATCGCACTTTTCGAGTGTCCGCATCGCTATCACTAAATTACCCATTTGAATGGTTTGTTGAAACTTTTGCTTTCGCGAAACCTGACATTATCCGATCCGATAAGATACACAACGCTAGATAACCGGCAGACCCTAGGCTAGTTAATGAAAAATTCCGGAATCCTAGAGGGGCTTACGTACCGCGCAGTTTCTTGGTTTTGTTGAGGTTTACGATCACCTTGCCGGTTATCACTTGGCCGGTGAAGTAGGTGCCATGTTCGTTCTGGTCGAACGTTATCATGCAGTTCTTTGACATGATGTCTAAATAATATATATGTTATCCTTCTCCAGAGCTTTTTGTGTTGCGAGCGGTCCGCACGCACTGGCTGCCGAACGGGAACTGAGGCAAAATGGTTTGCTAATATGGCCTAGACTCTCTTAACCGCTATTTGCTGTTGGCCGGCCTTATCTTATCAGCTAAACTCTCTACAAAACCAACTGCAATGTTTTCTTTTCGAGTGAGTGCAAAGTAATGAGTAGTTGGCAACGCGGCGGATTGAGTGAAGTTAACAATTTCCCTGGAAATTCAGTAGCTGAAATGCCACAATTAATTACATCGCTTTATCACTGCTATCATAGTATTGCGAAACTAACTTCTCATCGATCACTTCTAGCTGCCAATTGCGTATATCTGCTATCAGTGTCAGTTACATATGTAAATAATCTGCTAGTAATGATAAAAAATCGTGTTTAAATACACAAATTCCTATCGCATTGATAAGATAAAATAAAAATGTTGGCCAAATAAATGCTGCAAAAAATAAAATAAAACAGACCCAGTGGGTGACTTCAGTTCGCTGGGAGACACGACGCAGACAGGGCAAAAGTTAACTAGCTGCGGGATTATCAGCAAAACACTCCAAACCATGGTAATCTGTGAGATCGAGTTCTGCAATAACCCCCAGGGGATTTTCTACGCAGGCCAGCTGATTCGCGGACAGGTGGTAGTCAAGTGCGACAAACCAAAACCAGTTAAAGGTAAGAGGCTGATTCATTTCTACTCGTTATCTCCAATCAGGGGGAACTTTATTTGCCGAAAGACTCCAATGGATTTGAAGTGCATATCCAACAAAAGCTAAAAATAGTTGTAAATTATAAACGTATTTTTGTATATTGCATAGCTGTGATTCTCCAAATCAAAGGATATGCCGAAACCCATTGGGGTGATACTCAATACGATCCGGAGGATCAGTCGAATGGTGAATCATTCAACGGACATGTGAACTACCTGGCGACCAAGGCTTATCTCCACGGGTCTAGTTCGAGCATAGGTGTGTTCCAAGATGATAAATTATCGTAAATCAAGAGATAGACAAATCAGAGCTCCATTTCAGAGGTGCTTATTGAACCGGGCACCAGCTCGTATAGATTCGCCTGTCAGTTGCCCATCACATGTCCCTCCTCGTTCGAGGGAACCCTGGGTCGGATTCGTTATCTGGTGAACGTGCGGTTCGTGCGTCCGTGGAAGTTCGACCAGAACTTCAATCGGTGCTTTACTGTACTCAAAGTGATGGACTTGAACACCGAAAGTCTAATGTTGAGGGTGAGTTCTTATTTGTGTTGCAAGCTACATGAAAAAAATGTTGGAATTAAATGGTAATTAACGATAATATTCTTCAGGTATAAATAAATAGTTAATGTTATTCGATTTTTGCATAAGAAAAATTAAATATTGTCCTCTGAGTATTGCAATGAGTTAACAGGAAATTAATATTTTATTGTCTTGCTTTTTTATTTTATTTTATTTTTCACAAAATTTTATAGTCGATTATTATATGGTAGAAGCCGGAATTGATTGTTAAATATTACCAAATTGGTTTAAAAAGGTTCTGGCCTTTACCATAAATTTAATGTTGGACTTTAAAGATTTTTTGGGGCCATTTTCTTTGGCTCATAGTGATTGATATTGATTTTTGAAAATTAAACAAATTATGTCCGAGAATGAAATTATCTTTATCAAAGTTAAAAGTTATTGTGGTTATTTTAGGTACCCAGCCAAGTAGAATCGCAGCGCACTTTCTGCTGTTTTCCCTGTCGCTCATCCCCACTAAGTATGCGACTATCCATACCACTCGGTGGTTTTGTGCCAGGACAGACTGTACCGGTAGAGGTGATGGTCTCGAACGACAGTGGCGTAGCTGTGGAGGATATTACTGTGAAACTGGCGATGGTGGTTATCTACTACAGTCAACCCCCGAGCGCAGACACCAACAAGGATCGGTTCGTGATGGTACAGAAAACAGGAGAGGGAGTTTCAAGCAAATCTAGCAAGCAACTTACATTTGAACTAAAAGTGCCACCAACACCACCAACCTGCTTCAATCTGTGCAGCATCATTCAGATTGGTTATCAGGTGGAAGCGGAAGCCAGGGTCAAAGGTTGTCACGGAGGTCAATCACTTCATATGCCGATTACTATTGGGAGTGTACCGCTAACGAAGCAACTCCAGAAGGAGCCAAGGATTTGGGGCGAGGACCTACAAACTCAGCAGTTTGATGTCAAGACTTTGATTTTGGTGGGGAACGAGCAGTCAGAAGAACCTCGTAGTCCTCCCAATCCTTGGGCTGCAGATCCCTCCATTGGTAAGTTTTAAAAATTAAAAATTGAAAAATTAAAGGAGGGTAATTTCGTTTGAAGTAAAATTTCCAACTAAAGTGTTTGTCTGCCAAGACTATAATATTTTCCTTCGAGTTGTAAATAACGTATCAACCATAAGAATTATATGATCCGATAACAATTGTAAACAGACCTCCATTAATTAGTCGCTTTTTTATAGCTCCACCGATTTATGCCGTAGCCAAGCACATTTTTCCGGATCCAGAGAAAGTTTCAAAGGCCAAAAAGAAGACTCAAAAGAAATCTGTCAAAAGGTCAAATGCTAAAATAGGTGAAGATATTGTGTTCTCTCCGTTGTACGGTGTCTTTGATCTGTCAAATCAAACGGAAGAAATTATTGTGAGACCCAACGCAATGAACGGTGATGGCGGTTATGCCAATGAAGAAGTAGACAAAAGCACTTGGCTTTGAAAAACGACAAAATGTATTTAAATATTCAATAAATTATTTTACAATTAAAACAAATAAAAGGTATATTTGCCTTGTTTGCTAGTTGCAGAACTCGCACTGTGAGAACTTTTCACGCAATGAGCAACACTTGTTTGAGTTGAGCGTTATCTTATCGGATATATATGTGTAAATGTTGCAAAGAAACAAGTGCAACTGAGAGCTGGGGAAATGTATTGATTATGTTTGAGTTAAATGACTCTCTTCGAATTCGAAAGAGTCAGGTCATCATGGGGGGTTTTGTTTATGAGCTGCTATTTGACTATCAGCTTTTTATATTTATCGCTGATAGATTGGCTCACGTGTGTAATTCTTGCGAACTTGACCATAAATGTAAAAGAAATTTCATGGGGTTTTTTTACCAATTACTTTTATTTATGGTACTGATAAGATAAATCGAACTAAAAGCTTTTGCAGCACATAAGAAAGGGATTGAAGCCTTTTTTGCTCAGTTTGCTGGTGACTATTAAAAAAGAAGGAGCTCAACAGTTGACAAGAGCTATAAATTATAAATAATTCAATTAAAGAGTAGTGTTCTGATAAAATGGGGATAATTTGTCAAATTCTATTTAGCAACAACACTCAAGGAGTCTTTTACGCTGGCCAAACGATTTCTGGTCAAGTGAATCTATGTACGGATAAGCCGATTCAAATAAAAGGTAAGTGCCATAATCAGCTTGTGAAATTCGTTTTGATTTCTGCTGAAGGATGACAACCTGAAACTAAAACTAACTACTTCGTTTAATTGTTTGCTTTTTAGCGATCAGACTGAAGGTCAAAGGTTATGCCGAAACCCATTGGACCGAAAGTAAAACTGATTCGAATAATAAGTCCACCTCAGAATCGTATAATGGATTTGAGAAATACCTTTCGAGTAAGGTGTATCTATTGGGCTCCGACATAAGCTCCGGTAAATAAACATATAAATAAGTTGAATTCAAAAACGACATCAATTAATAAATTATTTGGTTAATAATTATTTTAGAAATGACCTTGGAACCTGGAACCAGATCCTTTAACTTCGCTTCTCAAATTCCAATCAACTGTCCCTCTTCGTTCGAGGGAACCCATGGTCGTATACGTTATATGGTGGATGTCAACATCGTACAACCTTGGAAGTACGATAGCCTTTTTTCAAGAGCTTTTACTGTAATTCAAGTGAGGGACATAAACACTTACCAGGGTGTTTCACAGGTGGGATTTGAGCGTAGTTTATGTGGGAATATGCTTATACTTATTTTAGATACACACCGAGTAGTTTATCTTTGAGAATAGCTTTTAATTCATTAATATCTCTTCAAAATTTTATTGTTAAAATCCTTAACATTTATTTTTGAAGGTTCCTGTACAGGCCAAGACCGAGAAAACCTTTGGGGTCTGGCCCTTCCGCTCGGATCCTCTTACCATTGAGCTAAATCTGCCGCAGACTGGCTTTGTACCAGGCCAGACTGTACCCGTGAATGTTGTTGTGGGCAACGAAAGTAAAATCAAGGTGCACGAAGTGAAGGTCGCTCTGTCCATGATGATCACGTACTACAGTGACTTGAGCTCGGGAACAAACAGTGAGCGAAAGTCCGTGGCCAAGTTGAAGGCAGATGGGGTCATGAGGAACTCCAAGAAGATGTACGACTTTCAGCTGCTGGTTCCCTCCACTCCGCCCTCCTGTTTCCACCTGTGCCGCATAATTAAGATCGGCTATCAGATCGAGGTTGTGGCCAAGGTGAAGGGCATGCATATCAATGGAACTCTGATATTGCCGGTGACTATTTGCGGAGTTCCGATAACTCGTCCAACGGTGCCATACGTTCCACAGGGTTCTGGAGTTGGAGTTGAAGTAGCTTATACTTCCCTTGAGGGAGCTAGTGCTCCATCTGCTTCGGAGTATCCCTGGTTAGAGGGTACAAACTTACGTAAGTTCTTTGTAATAATTTAACCCTGAACATGTTTGTATTTAAAGATAATTACAGCACCACCCAGCTATGCCGAAGCCACGCATACTAATTCGGGTTCAGATTCATCGGAAGATCCGAAAGAGAAGTCCTATAAGCCCCTTTATCCTGTATTCAATGTGCCAACTCAAACTAAAACTGAGGAAAAGAAGGAAAAGGCTGTTTTGAACAAGGAGGAGAATAAGTGAAGATTAGCGAGAAAAACAAACTAAATCTTTACTCAAGGGGACATCCAATGAATTCCTGTGCTCTTCCCAAAATTCATTGGGTATTTGCTGCGCAGCTGCATTTGGCAAAATTTATAATTCAAAATTGTAACAGCGATAAGATAAAAGTTGGCCTGGCGTTCGCTACCAACATATAGAACCATCGCAATGCTTGTTTTATTCTCAGTTCGGTTCTGGCAGCCAAGTGGGCATGTGGTTATTCCCGCCGCAGAAATCAAATCCAATCCGAGTGGACTTCTGGGAAGTTGGCCAGTAATAATAATCGAACATCGGCATTAAAATCAAATCATTCGTGTTGGCACCGACATCGGGGGTGGATCGGTTAATAAACACCCAATTACGTGTATAATTACAAGTATGGCTGTTACCTGTGAAATCGACTTCGATAACAATCCCCATGGCACCTATTTTGGGGGCCAGGTTCTGACCGGCAGAGTTACTCTGAAACTGGACAAACTGAAGTTGGTGAAAGGTGAGGGAGTTCACGCGGGACACTTTGCGAATTTGGCTACATGGCGTATGAGTCATGCTTATCTTATCGACTAATTTTTAAGTGCTGTTAAACGTTTTGCAATGAAGATCGGGGCCAGTGACTCATATAATTTATAATGGTGGGAACCACACGTGCAAGATCTAATGTCCACACAAAGGTGTTCGGTGAACATACACAACTGCATCAGTGATAAATATTTGCCATCGATAAGATTAAATTATTTTTAAATAATCAATGATTTTCGCATTAAATGATAGCAAGTTTTGCTAGATACACATTTGCTTTCTAGTGGAGAGAAAATATTGATATTTTGGATAAGCATGTAAATAACAACGAAACAATAATTTAAAGTGATTTTTCAATACATAGCATTTAAAGCGATCTTTAAACGGTTCAAAGAAAATGTAACTCATATCTAGTTTCATAACAATTTTAAGGTAATAAAGAAATTAAATGGAAAAAAAATTCCAATTGCGAATAAACACTGTGCCCCCTTGAATAAATGTTTACTATACGTACCATGTTTACCAAATTCGTGTTTATCAGCTGAGTTCTCTCCGCAGCCATCACCTTGAATATAACCGGTTACGCCGAGACGCGATGGAGCGAAAGGGTGACCACCAACAGGAGGAGGAGACGTCGCACGTTCTACGGAAGGGAGGATTACATTGCATCCAAAACATTTCTGGTGGGATCTAATCTGAGCAGTTCGTATACGCTACATTAAAAGTAAGGAATATATTTCAACTAGTACCTTTTTTAACAGGTCAAGTCTCCATCGAAGCTGGCATTCACACGTACAACTTTGTGTGCCAGATTCCCACCGAATGTCCTTCGTCCTTCGAGGGCACCAATGGTAGAGTGCGTTACATGACAAACGTAACTTTGGTCAGACCCTGGAAATTTGATCAGAGTTACACGCGTTGTTTCACGGTTCTCAAAGTAATGGACCTCAACCTTGATAGTCCGCTGCTAAGGGTAAGTTATTATATTTTATAGTAATACCAAAGATAATCTAATAAAGATAATATATCTATCTTTAGGTACCGGCCCACAGTGAGACCTCGAAGACGTACTGCTGCTGGCCCTGCAAATCAGATCCGTTGGCTCTCCAACTAACCGTTCCACAGACAGGATTTGTGCCTGGCCAGCAAATTCCCCTCAGTGTTTTGGTGACCAACGACAGCCACATTCCCGTGGAGCAGTTGCTGATATCTTTTGTTATGCTGGTGACCTACCACAGTAAACCCCCCTCGATGCCTAACAGCACCTCTGAAAGGTTGGTGGTAAACACCTTGAAGGGCGACTCCGTGCAGAGGAACTGCAAGAAGCTCTTCAATTACGAGATCAGGGTGCCCGCCACTCCGCCCACCTGCTTCAACCTGTGTGGCATCATCCAGATCGCCTACCAAGTGGAAGTGGAGGGCGTGGTGAAGGGGTGCCACCAGAATGAGCAGGTCGCCATTCCCGTGACCATCGGAAGTGTTCCTCTCTCCCAACATGTGCCAATCCAACCACGTGGTTTGATCAATCAGCCTTTAGATGCAAATGCCTTAATGGCCACGGCTCCTCCTCCAAATGCCTTAAGTCCTTGGGCAGTGGATGACTCCATTCGTGAGTTTATTTGAACTGTAGTATTATTCAACTATTAAATATTTACTTCCGCTTTTCAGCTCCCCCCAACTATCAAGAGGCTCTTCACATGCGCTCCACAACGGACACCAAAACCGACGATTCAGACGAACCGGAGCCAGTACAGCCCAATACTCTTAATCTGGATGGCACTTCCTACAAGCCACTCTATCCAGTGTTCGACATTCCAAGTCCCTCAGCCCCACCGCCAGCTGATTACACGCAGAACTATATGGCAGAGATAGCCTTTGCAAATCCGGCGATGGATGCTGACAAGGAGAAGGGAACTTGGCTATGAAATAAAGACGATACTATGCAAATCTACTAGGAACTAAAGAACGACAAAGTACATGTTTACAATAAAGCACACGCTGTATCACACATAAAATGTGTAGGTAATTATTTGAAAACAATCTGAAACCAATTTTTAACAAAAAAGATTTGATCAATAAAGAAAAATGATGTAATGAAATTTTATTTTTAAAATATTTTGCTTAAGATTCATAGGGTAAATATTTTACATCTATCTAAAACTAATGTTTTTCAAAGAATAAATATAGCGAAAATTACAAATATTTTTACACAATTTTTATACAAAAATTTGGTTAAGGTTCTTTGTAAATATGTTTCTATGATAATAAGCGGAATCCTCTTATCAAACACAAAACATGAATGCTTGGCACTGAGTTCTCCAGGGCCAAGGTCTCAGTTCTGAAGACCGACAAATGGAAAAACCTCAAGTGAACCCCAAAGCGAAAACGATCGCAGGGCTACTCTTATAAAATTTGGACCCCGATTCCACATCGTTCCCGGAGAAGCACGACTGCACATTCGGCTCCAAGTTGGGGGCTCTTATCGCTTATCTAACGAGGCGGTCGCACCGCAAGCAGTCCAGAAGTTTTGTACTTAAGTTAAGTTAGTCGCAACTCGTTGTCGCAGACCATCGGTTTTGGCAGTTAGGACGCTCGGACTTTTAATCTGGCAAAATGGTAGTTACGTGTGAGATCAGCTTCGATAATAACGTACACGGTACTTTCTACGCCGGTCAACTCGTCAACGGCTGCGTGACCCTAAAATGCGACAAATCCAAGGATGTTCAAGGTACTAAAAATAGCCCAATAATTTTGCAACGCCAAAACAAATCCAATAGCGCTGGTAATTGTTTAAATATAGCTTTGCCCAGCCGAAGTATTATAAATATTTTCTCGATAACGCTATGTAGGTATGTTCGAACTTCGAATTGTATATTTTTATGACGACATTCACTTTAGCGGGCATTCTTCGGGGCGGAATGTATGAAGTTGATTGATAACACCCCAAATGAATTTTGCTTTGGTATTATTTTAATAGCAAGATTGGGATAACCCACACCAGTAAGGTTTAAAAATTATATAAGGATTAATAATTTGGTTGCTTGGAATATTTCAAGTGATTCGTTATATTAGGTGCAAGTTAAGATTAGCACTGTATTAATGATCTTAACTTTATTATCTGATAATATATGCTTAAAGATAATATTACCTTTCCAACTTGCTCTTAAGTAGATTTTCTCACTGCTACGCTCTTTTTTCCAGCTGTTCTACTTAAGGTTGTGGGCTATTCTATAACCAAGTGGAGCGAGAAGAGTCTGGGATCGACGAAACTATATGCGGGCCGTGAGGATTATCTGGCATCCAACACTTATCTGTTGGGTTCCGAGCAAAGTGAGTAGAGCCAGTGGAATGCTGCGAGGTGTTTGCACTCATAAATATTTGTATCTGGGGACAGACAACGTCAGACTCACCATTCAGGCTGGGGTGCACAACTACAACTTTGCCTGCCAACTGCCCTACCAGTGTCCTTCGTCCTTCGAGGGCCGCCATGGATGCATTCGCTACATAGTCAAGGTCCTGCTGATTAGGCCGTGGAAGTTCGATCAGGCTTATACAAAGGGCTTCACGGTTCTCAAGATGCTGGATCTCAACTTTGACACGCCACAACTTAGGGTGAGTTTTTATTAAAATAGCTCTTTTGGGAAAATGAAATAGTAGCTATTAATCTTCAAAAAATGTTGATAAAATTAAAGTTAATTTTATATTGCATTTAATTTTATTTCAACTTTATTCGCTTGCTTTATATTAATACTGATTATGAAATTTATAAACAAACGGATTATTGTACTGAAATGTAATTTACGTTTAATATTTTGGATTGAAGTATAAATTTGGATCTATTGCATTTATTTATATTTATTCGAATTTATTTACATTTATTTTATAAAGTTATTTTTTCTTATATTTATTTATTTTGATCCCGTAGTCCGCCGCCCACAGCGAGGGATACCGCACCTTCTGCTGCGGTCCCTGCAAGACGGATCCCCTAAAGCTGGAGCTGCACCTCCCGCAGGCGGGCTACGTGCCCGGCCAGAAGATTCCGGTGACCGTGGTGGTGGTGAACAACAGCTCTGTGGCGGTCTCCGAGCTGCGGCTCTCGCTCGTGATGCTGGTGCGGTACTACAGCGTCAGTCCGGAGCACTCCCGCGTGGAGCGGATCATCATTTCGCGAGCCAAGGGAGATGCGGTGCTGAAGCAGTGCACCCGATCCCTGACCATCGACCTGCCCGTGCCCTCCACTCCGCCCACCTGCGTGGAGCTGAGCAACCTCATCCAGATCGCCTACCAAGTGGAGGTCGAGGCGCTGGTGAAGAGTCTCCGCGAACAGCAGCTGATGGTCATGCCGGTCACCATTGGAACGATTCCTCTGGCGGTTTCCGGAATTGTGGTCCAACAGCCTCCTCGGCGTAGTGCCCACTATGAAGGTCCCCAATCCAGAAGGGATCCTCCTGATGAGCTGCCCATGGTGACTGCTCTTGGTGACTTGCCCAACGACTTGACGCCCAGTTCAGCTGATTCAGGTAAGATCACGAAATAGTACTTCTTTGTGGAACAAATGTCTTTCATAAATCTACATACATGCCAATGAACCTCTCCTGATTAATTGCAATCTTATCAAATCATTATTGTAAGAACCGAGTGCGCAGTTATCTGTAGATATCGGAAATACTATTGTCAAAACATTGTCCAAACGCAAATATAAGCAATCCTCCCTACACTTGACAAAGTAATCGATTAAATTACAGCTTTTATTATTATCAAAAAAAAAAAAGAAGGTCAAACAAACTAGTTAAAAGATAACAATTTATTCTGGAGTTTTAAAATGTAAAAGCATTTTTAATTTGTTAACCGAATTTTTGCGACCAATACACCCAGATACAATTTAATGCGTAAAATGAGAACAATGGCGATAAGAAAAAATTTTACAATTGCACGGCTAAAGCAATTGAAATCATATAACCAATCAATATATACACAAATCAAAATTTTTAAAATTTTTGATGATATCTGAACAGCTGTTCTACTTGTAATAATCAATAATTTGTAAGTGTAAAATGTGCTTCTGTTTTGTGTTTTTAGCACCTCCAAAATATGAGGAGTCGCGGCACACCCAGAAGGGCAACATCAACGAGGAGGAGCTCTACGCCTTTGGGGTCAACGAGTTTGCTCCCCTTTATCCCGTATATAGCATACCCAGTCCAACACCCGTGCTTTCCGCAAATACTAGGAATGCGGGATTCGTCAACCAAAGTTTTGTCAAATAGTGCACTCCTTATTTGGCATATTTTAAAGTTTGTTATTATTAAATGCGATAAACGAGAATTGTTACTTTAAATTAAAGTAAGATGTAGTAAATGTAACCAACATGTTTTGATAACAATCAACTTGACAAATATACTTGTAAACACAAATGTTAACCACTTTTTATTGTAAGCGGTAGCTGGTATTACACCTTTCTCTGTCGCTCTTAGCGAATTTATTACTTTCACTTTTTCTGAATTCGTTTTATTACAAAAATAAAACGTTGGTTTTCCATGTTTAAATTATTATTAATAAATTGCAATAGAAAAAACGGCATAGGAGTGTCGTTTAATGACTTGGTACATTTTTAAATGAATATTTAAAGTGGCGTCAGTTAAAATAACGGCAAGGATTTTAAAAGAATGTGGTAAGACTGAAAAACAATTTTGAACTCTTTTAATTGTTGTCAATTGTCCAATTGTCCACATCGTTTTTTTTAAACTTTGTAAAAAATTTTCGATGTTTATCAAAAGTAGGATCAGTAGGATCATTTACAGTAATAAACCACAAAATTAAAAAAAAAATGTTTAAGATTTCATTATTTGTTTCCTTGATTGCTTAACCATATAGAAGTTTGTTCAGTGGAAAAATTAATGCAGAGCTTGCCAGACCGTCGATTTCAATCTTGGCGCCTTTACCTTCTTTTCAAATGTTGATTCCTGCCTCCGGACTTTTCACCGTCCCCTCAAAACTGTATGGGAGGCAACACTCATGAAAACAACCCCACAAGTCCTTTATTTTACATACAAATTTTTGTATTTTACTCCTGACGAAAGTGCTGTTACATGCTGTAAAGATTTTATAGAAAACATTTTATATGTATATAACAGTTAGAAGGATTTTGGGACATAAAATGCGCTAGCAAGCGTCCAAACCGTTATAGTAAGTGTAATAATTATAGCTGCAAAAAATGTATAAATAAATCTCTTATACTTCCCATGAAGGCACACAGAGCTTCGTTAAATCTGTGAATGTCGTAAAAACTAAAATTTAAGGACATGTACCAACTGATGTTAAGTCAAGCTGTTGATAGGTCTAAATATATTGTGACATTTGTTTTCGTTCGACCATCAACATACTGCTAAAGTGAGAGTTTTGCGGGTTTCGAAGCACCAAAAAAATAAAATCTGGTGCACGTCTATTTGCTTTAATATATGGTTTCAATAATTTATAGCTATAATTAATTAAGCTTAAGACAGGTTCTTACCTTGTGGGAAAAATAAATCGACTTTTTTTGGCTTATTGTGTAGATATATATTCCAAAAATGTGCTCAAAAAATTTCAGATCAAAACAAATCGTCATCAATTTTTTTTTTAAATGTTCCTTACTTTAAGGCAGGGGCTCACCTTGTGTCGGAAAAAACATCGAAAAAAATTTTGTTTTTGGCTTTTCGTATAGATATATGTTTTAAGAATGTGCTCAACAAATTTCAGATCAAAATTTGAAAAAATACAAGAATAACAGGCCTTTACATGGAGCACATGTCGAGCACCGGCCATTTGAAGCCAAAACTTTATCTCGGAACCACGTTTTCGGACCTTACGGAAGTAATTGAAGGCGTTGGGGTTAACCAATCGTCATCAAATTTTTTTAAATGTTCCTAATTGTTTCCTTTAACTAATAAACTAGGATTATCCAAAAATATTAAAAACTGTTTAAATAAGAAAATAATTAGTGAGAAAAAAAAACGCAAAAATCGAAATTTTTTTTCAAAAGCTTATAACTTTTGCAATTTTCATTTTTTTTTTCTGATCCTAGTTCATTTTATGCACAGTACTGTACACTTTAAGAATCTTTTTGGTTTTTGTGTTTCCGATTACCCTTTTTTTGCTGAATCACTTCCGTAAGCGGGACACCTTTTTGCCGAAATGTTGCAACTGAGGAACGCCCCCTCCCGCCCCTTTTTTGATTTTTCAATTTTGAAATTATTTTCGCAAACTAAATATGTTTTCAAATAAATAAATAAAAATTTCAGCTTTTTATCTTTAACCAATATTTCAAAACAATTTTTTTTTAAGTGCCATTTTTCGGCCCTACAAGGTGAGAACCTGCCTTAATTTTTTTGATTTTTTTTAAACATTTTTTTCTCAAAATAAATGTGTGTTCATATCCAGAATAAATTTTCAGCTTTATATCTTTAACCGTTTTCTCAAAAAAAAATTCTAAAAAAGTGCACTTTTTCTGGTGAGAACCTTAATATTTTCATTTGGTCTTAGTAAAGAAATAAAAATGCCGATCTAGGAAAAATACTAAATTATAAATATTTTAAGCTAAAAAATGATTTTATAGTTATTTTAAAAGCTAGATCTAAATGTGTCTTTTCGTGAAAAGGCACAGTCCAAAAATAGAAAATATCGCATTTGTGTGGCTTCATTGGAACATGATTTCCTTTCAAGTTAATTTTAAATTTGACCAGACAGCTTCAAAGGTCGCACGTCTAGATCTATTATTGCCATAGAAACGATAGGCGAAAATGAAAAGAGGCCATCGAAAAAAAACATAACCATAAATATTTAAATTCCTTTGAAAATAACAGTCAGTATTTGCGCGCATTATTAGTTGTCTTTAGTTTAGTGAGTTGTTATACCATTGCAGAGGATATTATCATTTTAGTCAGAAGTTTGCAACATTGTAAAGGAGACACCTCAGATTCCATTAAGTTCAGTAGAATCCGGTTAGATTTTACGTCGTTATACCCGGAAGACGAACTAACCAAAAGGAGCAATCGGAGTCGTTATAACAGGAATCTACTGTATATATGTTCTTATGTTCTGTCCGGGTGTCTATTTCTATGTAAGCCAGTCTCTCAGTTTTAAAGCTATCTTGATAAAACTTTACCAAAAGTTGCATAGTTGTTGTCCGCAGTATTTAAGTCGGAACTGTCGCGCCATTTTTTGAGATCATATCGCTGTGATTTTTTAAACCTACTATTCAATTTCGAATTGAATTTTATTGAAATCGGAACCCTATATCATATAGCTGACATAAAAAATATCAAGACCTTTGGATTTCGGATAAAGTTTCATTAAAAACGGACTGTTATATCATACAGCAGTCATAGGAAAATTCCGTGAAAAATTATATAAAAGCAAGAATGGGTTTGAACTCCATAAAGTATAGGGTATACTCTTGCTTAGCATCGTCTGGCAGTTGATATATTGAAGGTTGAATTTAAAATTTCTTTACCCTGGGGTGAAATCGTAATTGAAGTTTATTTCTAATCAATTTTTGTATAGTTAGGAATTAATTATCTTTTTATTAAATTATACGGAAGGGAAAGTATAAAAAACCCGCCGCTCGGTGTTGAATAATTTATCTTAACACTTACAAATTGCATTGCATTACTAGGAACACATTTTGAAAAAACAAATTAGAATGAGGTAGAGAAGTAAATGCTTTATAATAATTTTTAAAGGAACAAATTATTTTTGTCTCCTTTATTTTTAAGCAAACTTATAAAAACATTGCCACGGATGTCAAACAAAAAACGAATTTGAATAATACACAAAAAAATTTACTCGATGTACAAACAGAGGTATTTGGATAAATTTACTCATTTTCGCGGAACCTCTCGTTTTCGAGATGCCAAGGACGGTCACCGTAAATGCTTAAATTGAGCTTCTGGCACGCTCATGGCGCCATTACCCAGAATTTAGCCAGAAAGAATTTTCGGGGTCGGAAAACAAAACACCAACCCACGGACATGTTTAGTTTTTATCATTCGCGCATTTGTTCGTGAACTCGTGCTTGCGGATTACTCACCTCCTCCATTCTAAACTTTCAGGTATTCAGTTGGATTATTCCTTCTAAAGTGTAATTTTTATTACCACCACTTCGCTTTTCGTTTTGTATACTCAGTCCAACTTCTAATCTAAGTGTAAGCGGAATTTAGCAAATTGACACGTGGAAATTAAACATTAACTGCATTTTCAAAGCTCACAACATGATGTTTTTCGACTAAAAGTTTATTTTAATTGAGTTAACTTCAATTGCAACTCTCCATTGAATTTCAGGCATTCATGCAATGTAAATAGAAATTAAAAGATGAATTATGATAACTGTTTACACAGTTAGTTTAGTATACCAAACAAATGTTTGCATTTTAATGTGTGCCTAATTAATTAAAAAATTCAATTCAATACTCATTTGTATATATCAATATTTAAGTATAGAGTTTTTTTTTTCTTATCTATTTTTTTTAGAATGTACATTTTAAAAACTCCGTAAAATAAAACATGTGAAGTATTTGTGTACCTTTCTGAAGTTTATCTTTTTACCCTGAAAGAGCTTAAAATGGTATCGATTGAAAATAAATGTATAATGTGCACTGATCCAGAACGAAACATTTGCTCCAGTGCAATCACATTGAGTAGTGCATCGAAGCCAGACTCCAGTTGGCCAAATACGCCGAACTAATGACCGCATTAAGTAATTTTCCCCGCACATCGCCCCTTCAATGAGCCAGTCTAGTGGGAGTATCAGGGTCTGGGTTCTCGACAGACTCGCAGTTACGTTGGGGAGCTGTTGTTGGCCCTCTGCATTTAAATGGCTTACTCAATGGCGCTTTCGTGGTAATTGGCATTTGGCTTTGGCATGTCCGAATGCCAAGCGGGCTAAACTAAATGCATAACTAGTTTCGGCTTCTTGTTCCGTGTGGATTCTAATGCTTACCCGGTTGTTGCTGAAATTTGCTTTTCAGATGCCTTTTCCAGGGAGAGAGAAGCTGAGAAACTGGAAAAACCGAATTAGTTCAGCTTAGCCCGCGGCAGAGTGAATGCAGAAACATTCAGATCGTTAGGCAGACTTTTTATTCTGATTTTTCTAAGCTGGATTTAGGATACTCAAATTGTAAGGGAGCTAAAATCAAACGTAAATTGCCCTGTTAGAAAGTAGAAACATTCGAGTTTTTACGACTCTGGCGCAAACAAATCCCGGGGCGTTGTTGAGATTTTTATTATTTAATTTATTTCGGTGTCAGTTTAAAAGCCATTTATTCATGTGTCAAGTGCCTGCAATTGATTCTGCCTAGGCGGCTAATGGATTATAGATAATGCCAATGTACGTGCCGCATAGATAGACATGTTTAGCCCAATTTGCTGGCCAACATTG